TGTGCATCTCAAAAATTTAGAATATCGTTTAAAAGTTTTTTTTTGTAACTTATTTCAAAAAGTGAAACTTTCATATATTCTAGATTCAATAGACGATTCATTACATTTCAAAAGTTTTTTTGTTTTAATTTTGATGATTAGAACTTACAGCTAATGAAAGTCAAAAATCCAGTATCTCAAAATATTAGAATATTTCCTAAGATCAATCAAAAAAAGGATTTGCAAAACAGAAAAGTTCAAGTTCAAGTTCAACTTTAAAGTATGTTCATTTATGCACTCAATACTTGGTCGGGGCTCCTTCAGCACAAACTCCAGCATCAGTGAGGTGTGGCATGGAAGCGATCAGCCTGTGGCACTGCTGAGGCACTATTGAGCCTTCAGCTCGTCTGTATAGTTGGATCGACTGTTTCTCATCTTTCTCTTGAAAATATCCCATAGATTCCATATGGGGTTCAGGTAATATCATGGTAAGCAAACCACTTGGAAGTAGTTTTGGCATCGTGGGCAGGTGCTAAACTCCTGCTGGAAAAGGAAATCAGCATCTCCATAAAGCTTGTCAGCAGATGGAAGCATAAAGTGCTCCAAAATCTCCTGGTAGACGGCTGCATTGACTATGGACTTGATAAAACACAATAGACCAACACCAGCAGACGTCACGGCACCCCAAATAATCACTGACTTCAGAAACTTCACACTGGACTTCAAGCAGCTTGGATTCTGTGCCTCTCCAGTCTTCCTCCAGACTCCAGACCTTGATTTCCAAATGAAATTCAAATGTTACTTTTATCTGAAAAGAGGACTTTGGACCACTGAGCAATAGTCCAGTTCTTTTTCTCCTTAGCCCAGGTAAGATGCTTCTGACGTTGTTTCTCTTTCAGAAGTGGCTTGGAAAAGTGCCTTTTCCTGAAGACGTCTGAGCGTGGTGACTCTTGATGCACTGACTCCAGCTTCAGTCCACTCCTTGTGAAGCTCTCCCAAGTGTTTGAATCGGCTTTGCTTGACAGTATTATCAAGCTTGTGGTCATCCCTGTTGCTTGTGCATCTTTTCCTACCCAATTTTTTTCCTTCCAGTTAACTTTGCATTCAATATGCTTTGATACAGCACTCTGTGAACTGCCAGCCCTTTCAGTAATGACCTTCTGTGACTCACCCTCTTTGTGAAGGGTGTTCAGCTCAGCTCAGCTTTCATGAGCTGTAAGCTATAATCATCAAAATTAAAACAAAAAAAAAACTTTTGAAATGTTTTACTTTACATGTAATGAATCTAGAATATATGAACGTTTCACTTTTTGAAATGTTACAAAAAGAAAAACTTTCCCTATATGGACCACCATTGTTGGAAGTCTAAACATCCCACATCCAACTTTTGCATGGAATCAGTTTTATTAATATTTTGAATTAGATTTGATTAGATTTTTAGTTTTGTATTAAATTTTTAGTGATTTAGTTGTCTGCTTTTTTCATTTTATTCGTTTTTTTTTCTTCTTTTAATCGTTGTAATTTATTTTCAGTTCAGTTCAGTTTTAGTTGTATTTATTTTCTATTAGTAATTTTAGTGCATCAACTTAAATTCCATTCACTCAATTTCAGTTTCATTTAGTAAATATATTTTATTTCAATTAACAAAAATATTTTCATAGTTTTCATCCGATATTTATTTAACGATATACCCTTGTAAAAGCACCATGTCTTCCTTAATACCAATTTGACTAAATAAATAGGCCTACATACATAAATAAATAAATAAACGGATATATTGACTTTTCTTTGTCACATTACATCAGTAAAATCATTACATCAGGCCTTCCATGTCTTACAAGGTTTCAGATCTAGTCTTCATTTTGTATGCATTCATCTTAAAATGCTCCCCTATCTTCTGCACGGAGAGTGCAATGAATTACAAATGTAAAATGAATTGGGAAGCTTCCAAGTGTAAATGAACTCCGAGCAGGTGACAGATTCGACTGTGTGTCACGGTGCGATCGTCAAACTTGTTCTAAATACAGATGGCCTTTCGCGAGGCAAAGCTTTACCTTTACAGGTGACAGGGCTTGTCAAAGCCTTCCCGTGACAGTAAGGGAGGACAGAAAAAAAACAAAAATTAAACTAACCTACAAGAATAGTCCTCATTATAATGGAACGCCCCACCAAAAGTGTCACTACCTCCGTGTGTTGAGGCGCAGGACACATTGGTGTGACAAGGGGGTCTCGCATATTTTCAAAGTTGTTTACAGTGTTGCTCAGCTCTCTAGCGTGCCACGGTTCGCCGTGACAGTTGACTCAGCCTCGCACACAGCACGACGGTTATATTTGGGCTCTTGAATGTCACAAAGAAATTGTGCGGATATCATCCCTACGTGTACAGTCACAAAGCTACCTAAAGCTGAAGGATAAGCATTTTACTGAGATCTGCAGGGAACACGGGGCGACGGATCAAGCGGCCTTCAAGTTTGCCCGTGTCCGGTTTATCCGAACAGCTCAACGGAAAGAAATTAAGACACGCAGGAATACAAACCGAGAGATCCAGGGAAGAGATCCAGAGAATGAGGTGATGATGCCATTGGTTAACCTGATAGCGGTGGCCCATGAAATGTTCCTGCAAGCTGCTAAATGAGGCCCGGGCAGAATCTGTGGATCCGTGGAATGGATTCAAATAGGAAAATGTGTTCAAAAAATTTTTCTAAAATACGTCATAAAGGAGGAGGCGGGGGATCTGAGAAGCTTTGTGAATGACAAGCGGTCCAATTCTGCTGAGCTTTCTGTGGAGTTCAGTGGGCACAGATTCTGTGTGGGCCATCAACTAAAACTTCAACAGGCACAATAATAGCTCTCGAGTCCCTTGACTCATTAAATATTTAAGCACACAAAAGATGTCAGTTCTGTTTCACAGCAGGACCCCCTTTTCTTTTTTAAGCTTTGATAAAGCCAGCAGAAGTCAAAATAAAGGAAGTAGCTATAATGAGTTGGTAACGGTTTGTTACTGAAAATGGACTAAAATCACAAACTAACAATTTTACAGCATATATCTTCTATTTTAATGTAGGTTATATATACAGTACCACCTATAGGCCTACTTTTTATTTTTCTCTTTAGAAAATATGCTTAAATCTGACTTATTAAAAAGGCTTATTTTTACAATTTTACAAATCAGTCAGTTCATTTCAAATAAATGCTTTTAATTATTTTCTATTCTATTTTGTGTTCATCAAAGAATCATGAAAAATAATATTAATATTATATATATATATATTAATGTTAATAGTAAAATGATAAAATATTTAGATTTTTAAAATTTAAATATTAAAAAATATTATTTAAATATTAAATGCACTAAAACTGTTATCTATTGGTCATGATGCTATAGAGCAGTATTGTAAGTGTAAGAGACAATAAAAGAAAAATGGGACACAATATTTTAAAATCCACAAAAAGTACAACTATAGCAAACACTGATAGAGCATGCTTAAATTTCTGATTCATTCTCAAGTAAAATGCATAGAAATTTAAAAACTAACCAAGCATTGGATATTGCCATGATGACGATGTAAGCGTTTACTTTCAAGTGTTTGCTTGGGAGTTCCCTGTAAACCAGGCATAAATTCACAATTACATCACAAAGCTGAAATCACTCAGAGTAAAGTATTCATGTATTTTTCTAAAAGAACATCAAATCTGGGACATTAGAGATCTGGGCTTCACTGTGCTGAACACCCAGAGTCTACACTGACTCCAAAGCATCTGAAGAGTCGCAGCGTTTTTCATTTTGACTGCAGCACTTGGTAACAGTCATCTCTCTGAGACTGAGGGCGACATTTCACCCAGGAGGGAAGTGTTAAGTGTAATCCCACTCAGCAAGACCCCGAGAGCAGCTGCTTCACAGAAAATCATGCCCATTATGTTTGGCATTTCTCATCAGCCTCTCGCTGGAAAACCACAGGAGAACTCTTGTGAGGTTCTTATATATTTATTCCAGTTATTTATTAATTACTTTCTGCTTTCACAGGGGTGTCATTTCATAGATGTCAAGCTCAAAAAGGGTCTTTTTGGAGTTTGACAGATGTAAGCACAAGTCTAAAACACAAGTCTAAAAGTTCTATATGAAGCAGTTTTATGGCATTTTTGGTCCCTTTTAAAGCTTGACGGATGTTGTAAGAGCTGCGTACAGAACAAATAACAGCATTAGGCTTCAGAACAACCCTTTTTTTTTATTATTGAACCATTTCCCAATCTGGGGTTCACAAAGGAACTGCACACACTCTAAAAAATGCTGGGTTAAATACAACCCAGTGCTTGGTGAAATATGGACAAACTCAGACCCAGCACTGGCTTGTATTTAACCCAGCATTTCTTAAGAGTGCAGGGTTGAGAGATAATGAAAAGCCATTATTTATTAAAAAATGTAAAATAAATAAATAACTTTAGAATAAAAAGAATCCAAATAAAACAATTATTTAAAAAATATATTTTATTTGTTTACCTACATGTCATGTGACCATTAACTGACATCGGAGAACCATGAGCATGCAAATGTTTTGAAATATTAAATATAACTTCAAATAAATGTAAATCTCAAGAAAATAGTTTAGTTTAAAGGGATTTTACTAACAAAAATAGGTTGGGAATCCCTGCTTTTAAACAATTCTTTAAAAAAGATTTTAGTAACACTTTTGTACCGGGACCAATTCTCACTATTATCTAGTGCTCATTAGCATGCTTATTATTAACATATTGGCTGTGTATTTATACTTCCAAAGCACATATTCTGCACGACCATATTCGATATCCCTAATCAATACCTAAACTTAACTACCTTAATAACTAATAATAAGCAGCAAATTAGGAGTTTATTGAGGCAAAAGTCATAGTTAATGGTTTGTCAATAGCGAGAATTGGATATTAAAATAAAGTGCGACCAAGACTTTTGCTTTTGATTTAGTTTTTTAAATACTATGTATCGGACTCAATGGCTTTCATTAATTTAATGAAAAATAAAGGTAATGTCCAGCTCACGTTAATTCCTTTAGTCAACATTAAAATGTATTTGCAACACATTTTACTGCTGTAATGTGCAAAACAGAAAATGAAAGGTAGAGCAAGACTGTTATCCATCAGGAATTGATTGTGAAAGTGGGTGTTACATAAACCAATGAATCATTTATAATAAGCCCAATATAGTGGAGAAAATGGGGAGAATTTTGCAAAATAATGTCCCAAAAACCAATAACTGCTGGTAAACTGCCATAAAAATTTGCAAATGTTTATAAATATTCGCATATTTAAAGAAAAACCTAGACCTACCTGTTAATTTCTATGAAGTAACCACCTTGCCATCTACTGGTCAAAATATGTAATATGAACTACAAGAGATATGAGGTGCACAGACAACTACACATTGATATTTTCCACAGTCCAGCTGAGAACATCTACATTTGCAAAGCAAGTTTTCACAGCTTGAAAGAGCAGAACAGTTAACACTCCTCTTTAGCGTTCGGTCATGGATCCTTGGCCATCTTGTGTTTCAGATACTTGATTTTGAGTGAGTAGTATTCTTCCTGAAGCTGTAAGACTATTTCCTGTCTGCGTAGCACAGACATCTCCAGATCGCTCTTTCCTGCTGAATCGGTCTCTGCTGTGTTTGATTGGCCGTCGTTTGCACGGTTAACAGGCTGAACGTCCAACACGGGTGCAGTCTCGGCTGGAATAACATATTTCTCCTCCTCCTCCTCTTCCTCGTGTGAGATTGCACTTTCATTCTCAGTTTCAGCTCTGTGAAAGGGCAAAGTTGTTAAATTAGCAAAATGGTGATTGTCAGATATACACCCAGGCTGAATTCAGTTCTCTTTCATGATCAAATACATACAAAATGATGTTAAAATACCTATATTTTTACCTAAATATTCACATAAACACAGTCAGTTATGTCTTAAGTGAATGTAAACGGGAGAAAATCGTATGTGTATCAATGTACTGGATTTGTGCATTAGGTCTTAAAGTGACAGCTGCCTAATATACCTGCTGCTGTCTGTGTCTTTAATGTTAATCAAACAAAAGACAAATAGTTCTCTGATCTTTAGTGAATACCTTTAGTAGCTTTAATAAGAATCAATGTATATTTAATTCATACAGTGAATGAATTAGGCAGTGTTTCCTTTTTACATTTGATTTTTCAATTTCTTACTACTGTTGAATAGAACTAATGTACTTGAAAATTGTAAATCCAAAATGTATTTTTCTTATATTTGCATCTTTGTTGTTATTTTTAAAAACAAAGATCATTATCAAGAGATACAATTACAAAAAATTAAAAAATAAATGACATTAACAGCATACAGATCGGGAATGACATGAGGGTGAAAAATCACTTCAACACATCTTTTAACATTTGAATCATTACACCAACTTTTGTTTTTTGCCAAAAAACATCAAAATAGGAAAATACAAAATGTCCACAATTTTGTTTATGTTGCTATTACTTATTCAAGATTATTATTATTAAACAATGTTTTTGATTCAATTCAAGTTTATTTGTATAGCGCTTTTCACGATACAAATCGTTGCAAAGCAACTTTACAGCTAATTAAGTTTCTACAATATTTATTTAGTGGTAGCTTATCAGTGGTGACTGACTGAAATAAACCTGAAACTTATTTAACCCTAATTCAAAATGTATATACTAATGTAGTTTTTTAATAATATAATACTAAAATAACTTTTTGACAACATTATCGTGCCGAGTTGGACACGGCGTATTGATCAGAGTGTAACTAGGAAACAAAACATGTCATCAGAGGTTTGTGCTCATACCCTGGAGAGTCGTACGGTGCCATGTAGCTAGTGCTTGGAAAACTAGAGCGTCCTTGGTTGTGAAGAGCATGTCTGTGGTAAGATGGAAGTGAAGGCAGAGATGGACGCTGAATAAACTCCTTTAAGAGGTTCCCTTGAAACTCCATCATCTCCTTCCACATGGCCATAAGACTCGCTCGCTCCTCCTTCTGCTCTTCTCTGGCTTCCCTTCGCAAGCGTTCCTCATACTCCCTCTGGTTTTGCACGTGGAGAGGTTCTTGATCTCTCACAGAGTCGCTAATGGAATGTTTTTTGGCCTTCTTCCTCACAGGTTGAGCAACAACTAAAAATATGAACACAATAGTCAGTTATGTACATCATCATTCATGTTCAGGTAAAGTAGGGATTCCCAAATATTTTTGTCACCCCTTGACTTAAAATATTTTCAAATGAATATTTCAATCATTAAACACTATGTCAAAACATATTTAATGATCACATGACATGCAGGCAAACAAAATATTTTAATTTTATTGTTAAAATTGTAACAATTTTACTAAGTGTTTTACTTATTTTTAAATTGACATGTTTATGATTTAATCAAACACTAGCTTTATATCAACTCATGAAACCTTGAGTTAAATCAACAATTGTCCCATTTTAAGCTACAAAGCATAAAAAACTGATGTCTGATTAGCAAATTTTGAATATCTTTTTATTCAAACACATCCGAAAGGAAATTTTAAAACACTGTAATATTATAAAAAAA